ATGCATGGTAGGTACGGATCCACGTGTCGAACGCACGAACGTGAACAGGATTCACTTCAAACCTTCCCATGAACGTGGATCCGTACCTACCATGCATTTCGTCGCAAAACCACTTCCGGTCCCGCCCACTGGTCCATGGTCCGTGGAAGATTCCTTTAACGACAGCGAAGTGAGGTGGCCGAAACCACAACAGTGGTGCATTCAACGGGAGAAAAACTTCATATCATTAAGTGTTCAATCCGGCGTCTGGATTATGACTAACCATAAGCAGAACACTTCAGATGGAGCTCAGTCATCATCGTAGCCAAATTTCAGTGAAGAATGCCACAATTTAACTTACTGCCAAAAACGTCAAAGTAAAAAACTTTTGTACGATTCAGTGCCCAGAAGATCCTATGCTATAACCTAATCAATAGTCCACTACCGTTGCTTAAGTACTCAGATTCATAAATGATCAAAAATAAAAGGAAAGCATACAACTTAGACAAAACAAAAAGAATTTATAATAAAAAGTGGCACTCACTGATTATCAGAGATCATGGTTGAATAATCATGAGGAAACTATAAAATTGTCAGTTAGATGAAATTGGCAGCTACTCAGCATGAGTGATTTCACTAGAATTCTCCAAAATTAAAGATGAGAGTAATCCCAAAATGAAAATGAGCAATTTCAACAGATGAGTCACATCAAAAAAAAAATGAAGACGAAGAAAATGATAATGAACAAATCACTGGTAGAGAGAACAATCTACAAAAAGCTGACAATGAAACGGATAAAGTCTGCTTTCTCAGCCACGAGCATTTTGGAAATGACAGCCATCTTCAGTTTTCGCTGTCAGAGAAATTCTCTTCTTTCTTAGGCATCTGTTCCGGCTGTTGTGTGCTGTGCGACTGATGAAGATGATTGGTCTTGGAACGCGCCCCACTCAGAACCTGTAATATTTTCGTGAGGCAAGTAAACAGGAGAAAGAGCTAGTCGGAGCCGGAGACTCTACTTTAACTAAATTAATGAGCCTAAAAAATCCATGCGGGATAGATCACTTCCAATTCCTAGCGTTTGAGCCCTCTATGAAGCCTAGGCTAATGGTAAGAGGCAGCCGCAGAACAATTGCTAAATTTGCAATTACACAGGCAACAACGTGCCATTCTAGCAATTGTCTGCGTCTGTTTCTGATCTGTATAAAAACGTGACCAAACAAAACTTATTCTCCATGATGCCCAATTGGCTGAGCTCGAAAAAAAGAAATCAAATAAGTCGGTCAGAAGAAAAAAACCTCAGTTTAATCTTCACTAATGCGCACAGTCTTATACGGAAACCACCTCTTGCGACAAACTCAAGTACTGTATAGGGTGCAGTTATCAATGGCCCAGTGCAACCTTCGGGTCATTCTTGTCAGTAGTCAAAGTGGACGAGTGACAGCTCTGATCGAAATGAATTTCCATTTTCGAGTAATTGACTATCTGGAAAATTTTGAAGGTTTTTTTTAGCAATCATCGCGTATGCTTGCTTGTAATAAATACTGAATGCAAACTATCGTCATGGACCAAGTCACGAACATAGTTCTTATTTACAAGCCTACAGCGGCAAGGCAATTTTTATTGACAGCGATGGCATGGTCAAGTTCCGGAATAGGGTCAAAACTAGGAGTGGGATGCCATTTTGATGGAGGTAGTAAGAAAAATTTGAATTTCTGCGAGGCAAAGATCGAGATTTTCATAAACTCGAGATACATACCTGGTTTATTTGCTCCCTATTCCAATGCCATCCTTCGCCAGCCGCTGGCAAGCAATGGCTTCGATCGACGGTTTTGAAGGGACAGCAACAGAATATTTTGGGAAATATATACTACCATTTGGGCGAAAGAAAGAAAAAACAGAAAAAGGTATAAGATTTGAGATGGAGATCACAAACAAATGTACCATGACAATCTCCTGCAAGCGTTGGTTGGATTTTTACCTAAATAATCATGGAACATGGAAATGCTGGATATTCCACGCGACGACCTTCTTTTCCGTACATGTGGCGGATATTGTAAGCATACTGCTTCTCGAACTGAAAACTTACACCTTATACAACTGAATCGAAGAAACCATCAAGAGCTAAAGGATTGAGTGCATATCTACAACCTTGTCAGAATCAATCTTTTTCGTGAACTCTTCACGCATGAACATGATTGCTTCCTCTAAAGACAAACCGATTGCTTTCAAGAAAAGACCATACTGCCTGAAAAGCTGAGACCGTTTGAAGATTCATGTGACCCGAAAAAGAACCACAATGTCTTACCGCCTTGCTCCATGTCTCAAATGATGATCAGCCCGTAACCGAGTATGACATTGCCGCATGCACAGTGGGAAAGACGGTACACATAACTGAAGAAAAGTGCAGCAGATGGTGAGCCGATATAGATTAACATTCACATTTCGGATAGCCAGTCAATCATGTGCCGAGTTATTTTCCCATCGTTCTCCTTCCCAGCATACTGCTTCCCGCTGTAGGCGTTATTAGCCAAGCGCGCAAGTCTCGGAAGAAGTCGCCATTCCTCTTCTACAACTGCCAGATGCTTGAACGCCCTCTGTAAAATAAGGATTTTCACCTATAGGATTTGAACTTGACAATGCCTGTAACATATGGCTTCTCCTGTTCGTCCGCTGTGGAATGGGTTTCTTTTAGCTCTTATTCATGAATTAGATCAAATTGAAGGTTCACTATGTCTGGCGAAGATCTTACATCAGAAGAGCAAGCCATAAGCTGTTCAGCTTACAATCGTGCTATTTCTTGTCATCTGTCAAATACCTACTGCAACACATTTTTTTCAACTTCCAAAATCTAGCTGGTGAGTACGAAGGATTGTAACACGGTTTTGAAAGCTATACACATGGGCTATTTCGAAGGTAGTTAACACTGCCCTTTTTCTTCATTCGAAAGATAGCGCATTGTTATTATCTAAAAATTATTGCCAATGCATGAGAAAAAGGCATTGTTTCTTTTGCGAACTCCTATGGAATTCTGATCGAAGATAGAGAGGATGTCGGATGTTTGGAATCGTGTTGTAAGCTGCTGTTAGAGTCTGCGATTCGTCAGATCACAAGTGCCCGACAAATACTGCAAAGTGCTCTCCAATCCCGCCGCCATTTCTGCTTGAAGGTGATGGCCAATGACGACTGTCCTTTCACTTGTTTCATATTCAGTGTTTCGAATGTTCAAATGGGGCACTTATTTTTGCGATTCGCGCGAAACCTGCGGCGGATCGCGGACTCTGACACCAGCCTTAGCTTATATAATAGTTTTCCCGAGAAAATGAGAGAGGCGCAGATGGTCATCTGCGGTAAGAAGTCTTCTTTATAAAACTAAAATAAAGGAGCACTCTGTCTAGAGTTTCAAGAGTGTCCTAAATTTCTTGCGGTTGAGCGGTCAGAAAAGGTAAACTTTCCTTTTCATCCTGAGGCCGGGTGCACCAAGCCCGACGAGGAAGATTGGTGGACTCATCCCCTACTCCCATGGTTGGGGAATACATCCAAGGTTAGGGATAGAATTCCCTCAGCGGGTGAAGGGCGGATATGTCCCGAGGGTGGGATTCATCCCCACAGGCTGGGGATGTATCCCCATCACCCGGACCACTCAGCAAGAGACCGCTGCATAGGGTTCCGTTACAGGTACCCAAGATTGGTCAACCTGTATGCTTAATGGCGCGGCAAGTTTCGAGCCTCCTTTAAGAGTTTTCTTTGCAATAAATGTACATCTTCCACAAATTATGGATTCAGCTAATATTTTTTAATTCGCAAAACGTAAAAAAAAACATTCTTACCGCCATAGCCGCTGTCATGTTCGCTCGTAGAGCTGCGCTGGTGATCACGACCAAATCGCTAAATTGTATGTAAGCAAAACCTCGACGAACGAGCGCACGGACGGCGGCGCACGAGATCAGGCGCTGCAGTGAAGTCTACCTGAAATCACAACTAAGAGTGAAATCACATATATTGCTCTGAACATCATGGGCGACAACGGCTGACATACCTTCCAAAAGTTTGTGTTGCAAGCTTGTTCGATGCTGATGCCACAACCAGCGGCTAATTCAGCCATTAGTTCCTCTTTTTCAGAATTCTCTACCTGAAGAGGTTTACGCCCTTAAATACCAATATTCAATAGCTTTAGTGACCATTTTTACTCACCACATCCAGATTGACATTATTTTCTTTGAGAAATGCGATTATGCCATTTGGAGACTCACTCGCAAAACGAAACCTGAAAGTAAGAGAGTGCAGGTAGAGTGCAGGTAGAGTGTTTTCGATATGTATCATCGATATCTAGCTAGCTGTTACCTGAAAAGGTCCACTTCTTGGGTGACAAGCCACTTCGTGGATTCCGGAGAGCGGCAGAAGGCAAGTCGAAGGATAAAGTGACCAATTACATCTTCTCTGCGAGCTTTCTCAACATCAGCAGGGGGACACGACCCTTTAGCAAGTAAATTTTACATCCATTAGCATACACAGATTTTACTTCAATAATGGGAATAGGTATTCACATGCAATTTGATCAAAGAACTTGGTTGGTATGTCATATAACAAGAATGGTGCCGCATACCGTGCGAATTGCACGGAGATCGGATTCTGGCTTGGATTTTGGTTAAATCAACCAAGCCTCCCTCTGTTGAGGTCGGTTACATGGTACCGCTTCATTTCTGAGAGAGTGTAACTACTGCTCCGAACATTGGCGCCGCAAGTCGCTGTATGAGCCGTGTCGCTCATTACGCCATGTTATCACTTCCTACATCCCCCTATCACACCTGGCCTTCACATAACCCATATCTCAGACCTTTATCAAAGTTCTGCTCAATACACCCTTTGTCGTCTTACTTGAATTCGACCACCTACTATCATTCTCATCTTCAAACTATGCGCAGTCTGGACATTGATGTGGACGCCTTTTGGCGAACCTCAACGAATTCCTTCAAAAGGTGAATCTGGGGGCAGTAAATATATCTGTTGAGAAAGATACAAAATAAGGTAGGCGTGATCGAATCCCAAAATCAGACCCTTTATATACCTGAGGCAATTGGCAAGTATTTCTTGAGTTCCGATCTCGATGCTCATTGCTGAATCGAACTCATCGCTACCCCACGTTGTCAAGCGTCTGCGCTTGATCTGTCTCTGCGAGACGGCTGAAAATATAGGAATAGCCTGGAAATTTGCGTAGATCTTCATCTAGACAGGTTCTAGAAATAAAACAAAGCAATACCTTAGCGCTTTCAGTCGTTTAATGGCAATATCATCAAACTCTTCGATACCGATCTCCTCCGACGGAGGGATTGTGTACATTTGCAAATTCCTCGAGTATTGCGTTGTTTTGCTAGACACCTGAATCGTAATAACTTCGTATAGCACGACTCCCCACTAGGCGTATCTCAACTAAAAAAAAAAACCGTCTTGATTCCAATTTCGTTTATGGGTTAGGCGCACAGTCGACGCGAGGTAGTGGTTCTCCATGGCGTAACGGTTAGGTGTGTTATCTCATGTTCGCATGGTCATGGGTTCGAGTCCTTATTGAGTAGGAGTTTTTGCATGCGTATAGTGATTCACTTTCGTTTATGGGTTAGCCGCGCAGCCAACGAGAGAGTGGTTCTCCATGGCGTAACGGTTAGGTGTGTTGTCTCATGTTCGCATGGTCAAGGGTTCGAGTCCTTTATTGAGTAGGAGTTTTTGCATGCGTATAGTGATTCACTTCGTTTATGGGTTAGCCGCACAGTCACAGGTCAACGGGT